CCAATTGGCTCATTCGCTTAAACGTTGATTCTGATTCCGCAGAACTGGGTTGGGTGTGAAAAAGTATTTGTTGTTAACATTTTTTTTTCATTCGTTTTTTTTCCAGTTACGAGTCCATTTTTAAAGCTGATCATTTTGTTCTTTTTTCGTAACAGATTTAATGTTTAGTATAGAGCTTAGAAAAAATTCGCAGTGTGAGATAGGCAAGAAATAAGACATGTAGCAACATCAGCACGGAAAAAGGCACTCCTTTAAAGGCAAGGAAGGGCAAAAATATTTTAAGACAAGTAGTAGCGATCGCTGTATGAGTCGTACGACTTTTGAATCAAGCACGGGCCACGCCAGTCCATACTGCTAGTATATATATATATATATATATATATATATATATATATATATATATATATATATATATATATATACATGCATATACATATATATATATATATATATATATATATATATATATGCAAATATGTCAAACAAGTATATCTGTAAAAGGATAATATGAATAAAGACAAAAAGAAAACTTATCTTAGCCGATACTTTTTGATGAAAACAAAAGGATCGTGCACATAACAATTTATCAAATACATTAGTTATGTAACTACAACTTTGATCCAATAAATGCTACACTTATTAAATGAGAAAGTATCTTACTTAGAAATAAAATTCTCGAAAGTGCCGCTATCGGATCTTATCAAAATATAAATCTGCGTCCCGTATTTTTAATATCTCTATTCCTGAAAAAATTACTACTTTCACAAACCAAGATACATGACTACAAAAATGTTAAAAAAAAGAAAGAAAACGGTTAAATATTTACACTCACGTTATTCAAAAAAATCAGACACAACTTAATCCCAAACCAAAATAATTTGCATTAAAAAAGAACATCAAAAACATCGCATGCTCACTTTCATTTATTAAATATTGAATTGTGTCACGTCGGGTCCTCCATAGCTTGCCTGATTTTTCAGTTAACTTGATGAAAATTTGTGAGTGTTCTTAGAAAAAACTTAAAACTAAAAGTTTTTTGAAAATTAAAAATTATGAAAAAACAATAACATTATTGTATATAAAAACTTGTTACAATATAAAATCCTTGCATTTGCATTGACAGAATCACACAGAGGACGAAACAACGTCGGTTAAGATAAGACTCCTTTTGTCTTTATTCATATATATATATATATAATATTAGGTGGTTAATATAGACATAAATATATGTACATATATCTAAAAACACAAATATATATACAAACGTACATACACATACATATATTTATATATATATATATATATATATATATATATATATATATAAGTGTAAAAAATTCCAAGAGGATAGAATCCAAGTAGAACTCAATGTCAGTACAGAGTAAGGATATAATAAAAGGCTTGAGTACTAGTGTTTAATCTCTTTTAGTATATATATATATATATATATATATATATATATATATATATATATATATATATAAGAATATAATATTTTGTAGTGATTTTATAACATACTTATGTTATAATTTTTTATAAATAATAATATATATATATATATATATATATATATATATATATATATATATATATGTATATTGTGGTTAGTATACACATATATATATATATATATATATATATATATATATATATATATATATATGTATGTATGTATGTATGTATGTATGTATGTGTATATAAAAAAAAAATTCCAAGAGGATAGAATCCAGGTAGAACGCAATGTCCAGGACAGAGTAAGTAGTAGTCGGTCTGAGGAATTGGATCGTATTTACGATTCAAATGTAATAAATTATGACCATGGAGTACTAGTGTTTAAGCCTTTTTTTATATATATATTAAGAAATGGACAAAGTCCGACAATTTATTTATTAAAGACATTTTTATGTTTAACGTTCTTTTTTATAGATACAAGTATTTAAGGAGCGTTCGGTAGGCAAGGTCGAATTTACTGCTTATAAACTTGCCTACCGAACGCTCCTTTGTGGCCGAGTCGGTTAAGGCACATCAGCGTAAATGACGGTTCCGTATAGAATGCAGGTTCGAATCCTGTCAAAGGACGAATATTTTCTATGAAAATTTCTCGGACATTCAGGCCGGTAAATGTTATTTAATACTGTTTATTATAAACAGAGCATTTACTTAAATACTTGTATCTATAAAAAAGAACGTTAAACATAAAAATGTCTTTAATATATATATATATATATATATATTTAGATAGATAGATATATGCAGACAGATAGGTAGATATAAGTGAGATCAATAAATACAGAGTCTGGTATTAATATTTGGTGATATTTTTGTATATAATTTTCGATCAATGTGTGTCATAGTGAAATGGCTACTTAAATGCATTGAAATATTTCTTGTATAAAATGTTATTTTCACATAAGAATGCGATGTATTATGTATGAAATTACGTAAATATAAGCATGTATATATGCGTCTGTATGTAAATATATATAAATTTACAGATTGAGAGAAGTAGAAAATTTGACATTCCCACGTTTTCACAATCATAATATAATCGGTTTTAAAAACCAAGCAATTGACGTCAATGAAACAAAATGAATGAATGCAGACGACGGATGACAGCCGAAATGAAAGTCAGGCTATATTTATTATTTCATTCATAAAAATATATCAAAAACAAGAGGACAAAGACGATTAAATACTTATTTCGATATATAACATATTTTTGTCTCTTTCTTTAATCTCCAGAGAAAAAGAATGTCTTCTAAAATCTCGCCTTTTGCTTGAAATCGAATACAAGGAAGCTTAATATTTTTACCAAACACGGCTTCTTTTAACGTTTTCTGTTAGTTACGAAACCAAAAATAATTTCTGTTTAGAAATAGAA